TTTAATAATAAATGTTTTAATCATAGATTGTTTTATTATTCAGATACTTATTGAGTGTCCACTACACAAACAAACTTTATAATATTATGTGAGGACTACAAAGGCGAGCTCCTCATCCTCAGGGAGCTTAGGCTAATGTGGGAAATAAGGTACAGGTTGTCATCGTATATCTGACTCATCACCTAATATTTTGCTTTGTAAGTTGATATTTTCTGTATCAGGATTTCTTATGGTACTGTATTTTATCGATGTGATTATTTATATGAAGTGATTATTTAAGCTTAGAAAGCACAATGCCCTTATTCAGAGCACTGGCTTGCAAAATGTTCCCCTAAATGATGTCTGAGTAATATCTGAAAGCTAAAAAAAAAAAAAAAAAACCCAAAAAACAAAATAAAACTTATCCCTGAAGCAGCTTCTTAGCTGTAAAGAAGTAACCAGCTCAATGCTGAATTATGCAAGTACTTGTCAGCTGGCAATGGGGATTAGAGGACTCTACAATAGATACAGAAAACCAAGTGAAATGGGCAGTGCTCTGTGGATATGCTCTTGGCATGACCAGCCATTCCAGTTTGCCTAGGACTGAGGAAGGGTTTTCCGGGACTTCCAGTGCTCAAATCACAACAGAAAACAACAACCCACACTGTGTGGCATCTTGTGACTTATGCAGGGCCTCCCAACCGGACAGCAATGTAAAGCAGGTATCATTAACACACTCATTTTTCAATTGAGAAAAAAAGAGACTCAGAGAGGTTGAATGATTTGTCCCAAATCACACAGCTCTTAAGTGTGGGCTTAAGCACACATTTTTGGACTTCCTTCTGCTCACATTGCCTCTCTACTGTCTATCTTTTCCTCTCCTTTAAAATCTGCCAAAGACTGACTCCAGGCCTGCCGGCCTTCCTCTTCAGATCCAGTTTCTGATCTGAGTGATCCTCACATGTCTGGTTCATTGGCCTGGGAGAGCATTAGTATCTACCCTTTGATAAGGAGCCAGTGATTTGCAGAGTATATCATTGCAGGGCTGCGTATCATGGGGCCAAACCTTGGTAACAATCTAAATGCCCGACACTAGGGGTTGGTTATGTGAATCAGTGGTCCTCTAATCAGTAAAAAGTCCTGTGCAGCCACAACAAAGGTCCCTTCATCTGAATTCTTCGACTGGCCACAGGGCCAATGATTTTGAAATCTCTGTGACTCTTAATCAAGGAAAAGCACGGTTACTTCCAGTGTTCCCTTTGTCAGGGTAACAGGTTCCTGAAGAAAGTAGTTTGGATACCTGCTTAGCTATCACTTTGGAATTCTAGATTTCTTGCCCCTTTCATGGTTAGGTTGGTTGGTTGATCTCTGATTGAACTTGCCCTGGCCCTTGAAGGATGGTTAGAGAATTTGGGCAAACAAGAAAAGAAAGGTCTCAGGAAAAAGAAGGGAGATGTGAGTGCACACAGTGTGTTTACTCAGTGGGGACTAGACAGATAACTGGCTCAGTAAAGTCGAATCTCCATATGCCAGATGCTGCACTAGGAACGGAGGAGATGGGTGGAGGAGAGGGTCACAGACCAGCCCTCAGGAATTCATGTAGTCACAGACTTGAGGATGCCTCGAGGGGAAGAAGGTACATCCAAATATGTTTATTTACAAACACATACATTTAGTATATGTTTACATATTTCCAAGCATATGTGAATATAGGTATACATACACACACATATAACCAAAATAAAAGGAAATATACTTGCAAATGCTATTATTTTATTTTTTTCTCCCTCTTTAATTCCACCCCTCCCCCCGCCCCCTACACACACACTTCCACCCCTGACCCATGGATGTTGCCATTTCCCCTTAAGAACTGGATCTCTGAAGGTGGGGCGTCCCCTTCCACACTCTCGCAGTATGCAACCGGGGCCTGGTGCACACAGGACATGGTAGGTGGCTCCACCTGGGGTGTGAACACAGGACCTTATGTGTGCAAGGCAGAAGTGCTAACCACTACACTATGGAGCCACCTCCACAACTGCTTTTAGAAAGGTGGATTAAGTGGGGAGGATTTCAAACGCTAGACTGGAGATTTCAGAACTCAGCCTGTGAGAGACAGCCATTTAGGGCTTTTGAGCAAAGAGGAAATGGGGAAAGTGCATTTTAGGAAAACTAATCGGCCATCCACGAAAATGATAAACTGGCAGAGGAGAAAGACTAGAAATTGAGAGATGAATTCATACTGTTTTCAATCAATGGCTATTGTATACCCAGTTCATTTCCTTAACAACTCTTGGTGGTGTGGCCAGCCCCATGCAAGGCTCCAGAACAAAGTGCACAAGAGGGGCCCAGCCTTCGTGGACAGGATGTTCTGGTGTGGGAGACAGGTAGTAGATCGGTGCAGCTTGCTATAAAAGGAATAATTAGGGAGGAGGGAGGACCTGCTCTAGAGTTGGAGGGTGGGGAAGATCTTGCCTAGGAGGGCTGAGTGGGAGAAGGGTCCAGCCATGTAGAGCAGAGAGATTGGTGGTTTAGGAGAAGAAATAGCATATGCAGATGCCTCCAGGCTGCTGAGAAGCTTGGAGGAAGGAAGAAGAGGACAGCCATGTGTTTGGAAAGGCAGGAAGGATCCAGAAGATGCTAAGCCCTGTTGGGCCCAGGAAAGAGTTTGGACTTTGTTCTGAGAGCAGTAGGAAGCCAGTGAAGCACATCAGGCATGATCGAATCAATGTCTGGGACAGTTGCTCAGACTGCTGTTTGGGAGTGGGTTGGAAGTGGAAGTACTGGAAGCAGGGAGACCAGTGAGGAGGGTGTTGTGCTTGGCTGGAACTCAAGAAGTGAGACTGAGAGTGGGTGGAACCACTAGGAATAGAGATGGAAGATCAACACAAGGGGTGCAGGAAGAACAAAAGAAAGACTCTGTTTGGCTGATAGGTGGATTTGGATGTGGAAGGTGGGACAACTGAACCTCAATGTCACATTTTCCATGCTTGGTGACTGGGAGGACCTCGGTCTCCTCACTGCAAATGCTTAATGCTATCTCCTTTATCCTTTTTCCCTCCACTTGCCACTCTGAACCAGACCTCCAGAGATCTTTTAGATTCTAGATAATAACATTGGTTGAGCTTTTTCTGTATGTAGCTTACAGGATGCATTAGACATATTTCACTTACATGCCTCCGAGCTGCCCCTTGAGGCAGTTCTTGTCATTTTCTCCATGTTCCAGATGAGGAATCCGGAGCTCAGCAAAATTAATAACTTCTTGAAGTCACACAGCTTACCCATGGCAGGATCTTGGTTAAAGTGGGATTCAGCATCGCTTTAAAAGTGATTGCTTTTAAACCATGCTACAGCCTCCTCTGATGACCCCAGATTCCTAGAGGAGTTTCAGGTCTCCCAGACCCCTCCAAGCCATCGCCCTAGGACTGAGCAACTGCAACACTTGCCTTTGCTGGAAGCTTCAGTCAGGGACTTGTGCCCCAGGCCTGTGCCTCCCTGTGCCTCCTTGTGTCCTGTATCTAGGGAGACAGAGGTCTGCCATCTAGTGGCCACTGCCTTCCTTTGTCTCCTGAGCTTATAAAAGGAAAATGCAGTTCCCACTACAAGACAGACCTGCATATTTATAGCATCACACTCTATAAACAGGAAACTTCTCAGACTTAGAGAAGGAGCCCTGTAATATAAACATAGATAATTGCCAATGAATTCCTCTGTCCATTCAACAAGCATTAAAAAAAATGCATACATACACAGTCATTCCACTCTAAAGTAAGCTCCCTGAGACAGGGAATATTTTTCTGTATTGCTCATTAATGAATCTCAAGAGCCTAGGACAGTGTGGCATTTGCATAGCAGACATGCAACAAATACTTATTGAGTGTAGAATGAATACCTAACATTTACTGCATCTTACTATATACTAGTCACTTGACATGTACATTTTTTCATTTCATCTTAACGATGCCTTGAGAGGTAGGCATGGGCAGAATGCCCATTTCTGAGACTGAGGCACAGAGAGATAAGAAGCTTTCTAGATTTGGGAAGAGCTGGCTTTTCACTCAAATTTTCTGACTTTAGAGATCCTAGGTTTAACTATTGGGCATAGTGCCTTCTGTGTACATCTACTGTGTGCCAGGCCTTGTGTGTGGCATAGCCACTATTTAGACAAGTGGTAGTACCTCCAGGGGACCACCAGCCATTTCTCTCCAAAGTTTTGACTTCACTGACTGCGGTTTCCCTTCCTGCAGTGCTATGTCAAATGGAGAGAATTCAGGAAAGGCTAGCTGGCCAACATTGAGTCCCCGTCGCTTGTGAGCTCAGTGGCTGTGTGACCTTGCATGGTGTCCCAAACCTCAGTTTCCTTGCTGGTCAAAGGAAGAGACTGAGTTAGGATACCTGCCTTCTCATCCAGCTCCATCATTCTACTGTTCCTGTAACTCCCAGGGAGCCTGATGTGAGTGGAAAATAGAGGACCACTTGTTACTAGGCAACCAGCACCCAGCTCACCCATGTTGCCATGGTGATGATGAAAGTTGGGCTGATGGGATTACCAGCTCCTGCTAATTGCATATGAGAGCTCAAGGTCTCTGTCTCTTTCTTGCTTGCTTGCTTGGTCTTACTTTCTCATTCTTTTAGGAACTGTGGGGAGATCTCCCCCATCTGCAGTGTCCTCAAGGCATCCCTATTGCAATGGAAAGCAACTGGAAATGGAGCTTGGCTCTGTTTCTGAGTAGCTGTGTGATATTGCATAGGTTACTCGGCTTCTCTGGGCCTCCATTTCTCCATTTGGAAAATGAAGGTATTGGAATAGTGATCCCTGTCTAAGGCTCTTCCAGGCTCTTAAATCTTTGATGCCTGGGGAGCATGTCAGGGGAGCAGACCACACTGTTACTAGGCAACCAGTAGGCACCCTGCCCAAGTTGCCTTGGTGACTGGATGCTGGAGGGGAAGGGAGTAGCTGCTGCAGCTAACTGCTTAATTATTTATGAATACCTCAAGTCCTTTTTGTTGTTTTCGTTGCTAGGGGCTGTGGGGTTACCTTCTCTTCCTTCCTCCTGCCACCCCAAGTCGTCTGAGTTGCGTGTTTACTCAGTGGTAGAGCACGTTGGCCTGGATCTCAAGCTACCCACGTTCTAGTCCTGCTCTGTCATTTTCTAGAGCTGTGGCCTCAGGTAAGTCACCTACCTCCCTGGGCCTCAGTTTCCTCATTTGTAAAGTGATGGTTTTGCTTAGGTAATCTACAAGTTCCCTTTCTACCCTGAAATTCTAATTTGTGCTGTCCAGTTAACAAAGTAGAGAAGATGAGGGGAATTTTCCTAATTTGTTACCTTCTAAGGATGATTCTGAAGAGCAATAACAATAGTTAAGTCTCATACATTTCAAACAGGAAGAGAATGAAAGTTATGCTCACCGTTCTCTCCTTGCCTCTCACCTTAGTCATGTTGCCTGAACTCTTTTATTAACCTAAAGGTTATTTAAAGTTTTTTTGCATAGCACCTACTTCCAAAATATATTTGAGGGGCTGTATTAGATGTATATGTGAAATTAGGCCATTAAAATAAAAATAGCAATAAAGTAATATAAAAATAGGATGCTTCTTCATTGGTTAATACTGATGTTGTGACTGAGCATCAGATGTAATGTTGAGCATCCTGGAAGCGAAAGCAAAAAGAGACAGAGGTACATAATTGTTACTCAATAAAGAAAAATTGCCAGACTGTTCTTAATTCTCAGTTCTGAAAATAATTTGTCATATGGTGCATACTGTCTTTTAGAAACTGAAGGTGAAACTATTAAAATAATAGTTGTCATTAAAAGGTAAAGAAGCTAAAGTTGACAGTTTGACTAATTCTAATCATTAGAAAACAAAAACTCCCTTTCTACCAATGCCTTAGGATTTTATAAAGATAAATGTCCCTTACTAAGTATAAGTTTTCAGAATCAACTATTATTTATAAATTAGTTATATATAAATTCATGTAACCATTTTGTACAGTAATTTAGCAATATGTATCAAATTTTTAAACACAGGCAAAAATTTGACTTTAAAACTGTTCTGAAATAAACTTGTGCAGATTAGGAAAGACATTAAATATAAAATTGCTATGGTAGCATTATTTGTAAAAGAAAATGACTACAAACCACAGAAATCTTGAGGGTTAGTGAATTAAATTATATTACTTCTTCAGAATGGATTACTTTGCAGCCCTTAAAATGAAGTAGACCTATGTTTTGATATGGAAAAAATCTTCAAATATATAATGTAAATTAAGATAAGGAGGTCAGCAATGGTATAAAATACTTCTATTTCTGTTTTAACGAATATAGATAGGTATGTGATTTATATATCTAGATATATGCTTTTATGTACATACTTGCATTTTTCTGGAAGGAAACTGTTAACAGTGGTTTCCTCTGACCAGAAAATTGATAGCCTTGGGATGGAGGGAGACTTACTATTCATTGCCTTATTTTTAATATGTGGACCTGTCAGTTTTTTAGTTGGACAGGCTTATAGAGCCTGGCAGTTAAAAGCCTAGACTCTGGAGTCTGAATACCTGTGTTCAAATTCTGGTTCTGTCACTTATTAGCTGTGTGACCTTGGGGTTAATTTAACTTCTACATTTCTCATCCATAAAATGGGCCAATAATAATAACTTCCTCATTAGATTTTTATGAGAATTAAATGAGTTAATACGTGTAAAGTGTTCAGACAGTCTAAACAATGCCATATATGTATTTTCTTGGGAGAAAAAAGGTGAAATTTTAAAAATGTATCTAACCAAAAGGACCTCCAATATCTCAAAGTTGGAAGAACTTTATAACTACATCGCTGCTTCCAGATCATGTTGCATAGAAACTGTTTGAAGGAGGGATCAAAAAGCAGTGGTCTTGTGTTCATTGTTATTTTATCTGGACTTGAATACCTTTTAGGAAAGGCACCTACCCTGGGATTCATAATAGGTGTTTACAGTGGCTGTGAAGACCCTGAACTCATCTGGTTTTGCAGCTCCTATTTTATTCCATCCCAGTGAATGCTCAAACTAAAAGCAGAACAAATGTAAGGCCAGGTAGAAAATCTATGAAGAGATGAAGAGATAGAACTGTACATCCACAGTTGTTAAAGGCCAGAGACTTTCCAGAAATACAAAGTTAAAAGAGGTATCCATGTCCATGCTGGTTATAACGTGTGTTCACATGCCCTCATGTCTCTCCTCTTTTGAGAGAGTGACAGAGACCTGACCTGGTAAGAGGCGGTGCTAGGAAGAACCCTCAGGAATCTTATGGCCGTAGGGACTTCCTCTTTATTCAGAGGTGCAGAAAGCAGAGGGTTCTGTGTTCTAGACTGCCAGGTTTCTTCCTCCATTTTTGCAGATACTTTGGGACAAGCACGGAGTACTTCAGCTGACTTTGGGAACCTTCCTTCGAAGTTGGCCACACTTTGGGCCAGGCATAGGCCTCTCACTATGGGCACATGGTGAAGGTGGGATGGGGGCTCTAGTCCCTTCAAATCGGCTGAGTTTGGAAACATGCTGTCACCATGAGGAATTCAAGGCTGACCTATTGCAACTTCATGCCTGAGTCTGTAGTCTCTGTCTGTCAGGTCCTTTCTGCACTCTTGGGCACTCCAGTTTCTTCATCCATTTGGCCAGAGGTTCCCCTTGTATCTTTCACATCCAACTATGCTTCCATCTCCTCTTTCATCCCTCACTCCTACTCCAATCATCTACCAACTTTTCCACCCATCCCTCAGACTGTTGATATGTCTATCCACCCCACCTCCCAACCCTCCATCTTCCTGTAGCCTGTCCATCCAACTCGCCAACCTCCTGTCTGGTCGCTTGATGGGTCCTGTTCCCTTGAGCCGCATAGCCCTCGAAGACATCCCTGGCCGCTGCTCTGGCCTGGCTCCGCGGTGGTCGGCGCCTGTGCCGAATCGGCCTCCCACCTCGCCCTGGGCCGCCTGCTGGTGTTTGGC